GAACGTATTATATAAATTCTTTTATGGGCGCAATGTGGCTCGGGGGGGGAAGTCGGTGCGCGGCTCAGCGATGTAGTGTAACTCGAACATTCCAGCTTTTCACGGGACATTTCAGCTTCTCACGCATGCTAAGTGACTGCCCTCACCCCCCTTGAATTGGCCACACCCCCTGGCTTGCGAATTTCCTGTTGCCGCAACGCCCCGCGCGGCGGCTGTCCCCCCCCTCCGAGCCACATTGCGCCCTTTTATGTCTTGATTAATACTTTCCAGTTGTTCCGCGGGCGAGCGACGTCGTGAACCCGTCGCACAACTCCGGGTGGATGTGGCCATACCGGGTGTGTTGGTCGTAAGCAATTTTGTTTATTCATATGAAGTGAGTGCAAAAAACATCGAAAAAATACAAGAAATACACCAAAACCAAGATTATCGACCGGAGCGCCCCATCTGCGCCCAGCGCACGCGTCATGCGCCAGAGCGCGTGTTGACGCTCTTCACACTGTCGGTGCGGTCGGCGCCGTCGGCACCGACCGCACCGATGCGAACTATGAAAGCAGCCTTATCCGTTGCGCTCTCTCTTCCTGTGTTCCTCTCGCCACGCTCAGTCTCCCATGGCCTTAGCGCAATCGCATTACGAAGGTACACAAGTCTCAAACTTAAGCGTTTTGACGATTTCTTTCCGTCTCTCCTTTACTGCCGGCCCAATCCGCATCAGTACTTTCAAATTCGTGTACCAGACCACACCACTTTGATCCTGGGGCAAGTAAAGTAATAAAAAGTAATAAAGTAATAAAAAAATACATAGCTATAGTATAGCAGGAAAAAACGAAATGCTTCCGAAACATGAGTTATGCCAAATCTCACAAGATGGCGTGAAAACAATGCCAAAAACAGCGGTGAGTTATGCCCCAACCTAATAATTTCAGCAGTAAAATATGCGTGTTGCATCGCGCGAGCCTCTTACTATGAACACGACGTCACGATAGGCGTGCTCTGCCTTCATTCATGTGAAAGGTTGTTGATACCTGGTCAGGTAAACTGTGCACTGGAGATAACGGCATAGCGGGTGAAGCTGCTTGCGGAGATGATCGAGCTGCAACAATTACCTGTTCACCTGCATCATACAATTATTGACAGTACAATAACTTTTAAAACAATACACACTATACGCACCAATGAGTGCATCAAATAAATAAATAAATTAATAAATAAACAAATAAAACAAGAAAGGAACTCGCACCTGTCCTCTGATTAGGATCAACAGGATCCAGTGTTGTTGGGCTTTGAGAAACTGGTGGAGCGTGCTGAAAAGACTAGCTAGAAAAAATATATCGCATTCGATCGTGGCACTGGGCTGAGCCCTCTTCTTACTTATTTTTTTTTCGACTTACCGCATGAAAGCAACAGATTCTTTCGTACTAAGAAAGAATCTCAAGATAACTTGCCAATTGTAAAGCGGCAGAAATGTCATGAGCTTTCAAGATCAAGCAGGGTCCGCACTAGTCTTTTTATTAGATTTTCCATGAAACAACTTGAAAATGATCTCAAAGACACATATGTACTTTTCTGTGGGTCATCCCGCCGGAAACCAAAATAATTGGGATAATTAACACATTGCGGACCGCCGTTGTATGTATGAGTACCTTCGTATCTTTTTATATTTTTCAAAAATGTATCATCATTAATCTATCAACAATTTTATCAGTGATGACACGTATGGTTTCCCGGCTCTGAAAATGAGTGCAAACAGTTCAGGAGCATTGAAAAATGTCAAATAAATCAGATTAAACTATGCTGTTTCGTGCGAAATCGTGCGCCACATGGTGGCGCACGCGGTACGATATGTTAATCGACCAGTAATGAATGAAGTGAATGAATTAGTAGGAACCCTCGAAACCTCTCTGCACGCATATGGGCGGAGATTGCGGCGAAGAGGATGGGAACTTCTAAACAAGGTCAACCGTCACGTTGGACCAATTTCGAAAATTTACGACCCCCCCCCCCTCTGGAGGGCCTCGATACGACCCCCCCCCCCAACTCCTCACGACCATCCTCCACCACCCTCGCCTGCCATCGCCATCATGGGGCGATTCTATAGTATTTGATTCTGAGACCAGTCGACACAGCCCAACTCCGCCCACTTTTCCTCCAAAATTGCCGTCGAGCGGGGGGGGGGGTATATGGAACGTGAAACGGCAAAATTTTCACACTCACACTCAACCCAAAAGCCCAGCCTACAAGAACCCACTATCCGTTCCATAAAAAACATCCCTTCCCTTACTGTAACATTGACGCTACCTCGCGAAATACGACCCCCCTTTTCCACCCCCCAAATACGACCCCCCCCACCCCCTCGTTGGACTTTGTCCAACGGACGGTTGACCCTGCTCCTAAATGTTCGGGCCATTTGGTTGTCTCCGAACCGTAATAGAAGCAGCGGCCGACAAATGCAAAGGCGGCTCATCTCTACGACAATGTGCAAAGTGATTTTCAAGGAATTTAAACAATTTCGTTTGTTTCTTAATAACCGGTAAACTATCAATTCATCCACTTTCTTTTTAGTGTGAAATAACCCACGCCTTGAGAATCATGAAATGTGCCTTCAGACTGTCATGCAATGTTTGCCACTTGCGGACGACTCGAGGTCAACCGAATTCGAGGAATGAAGCGGGCAAAATCCCTATACTATTTATTTTATTTTATTTATTCATTTAATACACCTGAAAGGGTGTGCACACGATGGACAAACAGAGTTGTAAAGCTGAGCGATCCATGATACAAAAAGTAAAAATAAAAAAATTGGGCTAAACGTAACAATGAAAATAACCCTGAGATTATGGAATAGTTCAGAAAAAGGAACTGAGATGGCAGCCATTGAGGTCCTACACTGTAGCCGGTAATAAGGCCGCACTCACCATCCGGAAGACCGAAAAGGTCCCTGACGAGATCCTTGTCCCTCGTTCGGACGCTTTCGAGTCGAATAACGTACCGGGGCTTGCAACTATGAATTCCTTCCAAAGCTACAGAGTGGAAGGGATATACAACCCACTTGATACAACACGGTATATACTACAATATACAACCCTACGGTATATACAGCCCACCGAACAAATGATAGCAAGGGGGTGGCGTATTATAATCAACGTAAGAAGAAGTGCTAGAGCCCCGAATCCGTTTCACAACGTCGCCGAAACGGAGCGATCTTCGATTCAAAACTACTGAGTACTACTCTTGGTAATTGTGAGCATATTTTATAATTAACTTTTATCATTCTGAACTTTCATCTAATGAGCATTGTTTTGCACAAGCCCCTTGATTTTTTTCGTGTATATACATTCATAAGAAATAAGTAGCACCTGCACTGCGTCGGTCATCGTTTCCGAGTCTGTGTGCGGAACGTTTGCAGCCTTCTCGAGTTCCTTGATCCGTGCTGTCAGTCGAACAATTTCATCCCTTAACGAAATCTCGCAATATTACTGCACCATTAACTTTTCTGTAACTATTCAAATTTTCACGGTATCCCACCCACAGGTCCCTTACATTAGTGTTCTAGGACGGCGAGCAGCGTGAAGGAAGGTTCTGTAGCCGCATATGGACTATAGGACCCTTAAGATGTTCGTAGAAGTTGGGCCCTTGAAGCACGCGCCTCCAGTCGTTGCACATTGTCTGGCACTGAACTCGCACCTTCACTTGGTATGCATAGAAAGGATAGAAGCGATGGAAGGAAATTACATGGGTAGGGATGAGCATACTCAAATGTGTGCAACGCAGAACCTTAATGAGCAAATGGACTGCAAGTGACATCAAACCATCCATCCCAACTAAATTTAGTCAGGAGCTCATAAATATTAAGAAGAAATGCCATCTCATTTGATCTAACAGGAGCGCGCTGGAGACCATAAAACAAAGGTGATGTAAGAGTTGAGAGAAAGATATATTGACCCCAAGACACGGTAGTTGAGGAGTAGGGCATCAGATAAATTAAGAGAGGGCGGTTACTCCGAGCAACCTTCTTTTTATCCAGCATAGTTGCAGCTAACTAGAGAACACTAACCGGACGAATATAACTGTAGCGGAGCTCGAGCACCCAGTCGCCATAATGAGGGCTGATCTTAAGGGGAAGCAACTTTTATAGCCTCTCATTTACAGCATAAGGGGCATATGGATTTCTTCTACACTCGCCCATGTTCTTTTCCAATAAGCAGTGAATTCTCTCTCCGTTTAGCTTTTTCTGATCCAGCGTCATATGCCGATGTCACAATAACGAATGACTCGACCAGTTTGTTTCAAAGAACGACATCCACATGTGTCCATATAATTAATTAGACCACAGCCGTCCCCTACAGCCATCTCCTGTTCTATTATTAGGACAATTTTTGCCGAACGATGATCAATTCCTACGGGTTGCGCCACACATTCGACCCATCGCCTGCCATACTTCCAGAATCGTAAGCATAATTGGATATTTAGGGCGTCAATACGTACATAGGTATGAGTCAGCAGAGGGAAAATCACTTCATCGCTCTCGATGTTACTCTCGAAATCGAGCGCACAGCGCCACCACAAACAAGTTCGATCCTGCGCTTCAATAAAGAAAGATAGAATATTTATAAAGAAAATAATCAAAACCGAGTTCCCAGCGAAAGACTGCTTGGAATTGCACGAAATGATTTCCTAGACTAGGCGAAATGAATAAAAATTTCAGCGGTAGTTTTATGAACAGATACCCTGTTGGTTTCGAACGCTACACGAAATGAGTACACTTTTTTGGGGAGAATAAATGAGAATCACAAATTTACTTCAATTTCTGCACGAAATTAACTTAGAAATAAGCTACGATCCTTGAAAATGTCACAAGGCTAGAAAGTACGTATTACATTACCACTTGGCGGTGCTTCACAAAAAAAAACAACAGTTGGTCGATTGGTATCATGGACAGTGTACCATTCCCAGTTCTTTCCCTGTAGGCTGATATTGTTAGTACAATTAGTCATGTCGCTTATGTATTTGCGATGACATTGTTCGAGGAATTTGTCCAGCAACGTGCGTCATGCGGGCATAACAAAACTAGTTTTCCAAAATATGAATACAACGAAAATTCAACAATTAAAAATGACGAAGGCCTATACATGGCATTTGCAACCGGATTGCACCAATGAGTATCCGCACGGAACTGATAGATATGCACTCACGCACACACCAGTTGAAGGAAAATCGTAGAAGTAAAATTCAACCAGTTGGAGACTGGGCGAAAAATTTCCATGAGCAGAAACCTCTGTACATCAGAGACAGCCATTTTCAGCGATCTTGCTGGGTTTCTCTTTTGCATCGGAACATGCACTCAGAAAAAGTCTCGAAGGGAATTCGTGTGAAATATTATACAAATGCTAGTTTGCACATCAACAACAACTTCCATTTTAAAATGATGGAAATCTTTTCTTCTCGTTTTTTTCGAGAAATATCGCTTTGCCGAATCCGGAAAATTAATGGACCACCTCATGTTCCTTGGTCGAAGTTCATTTTTGCTTGATGAAACCATTTCTGCGATACTGATTTATCTTTTCAGGTGACGGAAGGAACACATTTGTTGGGCTCTTAAAGAAATCATCAAAGGCAAAACCATTTCGGGAATAACGAGAGGTTATCATGCAGTCAAACCATTCACGATTTAGCCCAGATTCACGCCAGGGATAACAATTTCTTGATAGATCCTACAGTATGTAGATGGAATGAGACACAGCTCTGGAATATTCCATTCCTTTTCGGTTCAGATAAACGCCACACATCGTGAGAAGCATCCTAATTCACCAACTCGTGGCTGGGAATCGAGTTTACAATTAGTTAAGAAACCTGGGACATTCTTGCAAGAAATCTCCTAGCTGCAAATAATTCACGCCACATCCAGGCCAAACGACTTCTTAAAGTATGTGGGATGTGTGGTCTACATCTTTTCCTGTCGTCCTTCAATCTCTTAGCAGGCTCGTTTGCAGCGCATTCAAGAAACTCCAAGGTCATGCTGTGGCAGAAATTTTTTTTTTGCACATTGAAACTCAAAAAAAAACCATTGCAGAAACTAAGCCAACTTGACCAAAATGTGCGGTCGAAATAACTGGAGCAGTCAGTTTTTTTGACTTTTACGGCTTGCTTTGATCTGCTTTTCTTTTGTTGTTTTCTTTTTCAGGTTAGATTTCCCTTTTAGCAAGACGCACTCGGAAGATGTTGAAAGGAAGGCAGACAAGCAGAATGCGTCAGGAGCAAAAAAGACATACCTTACTCCATTTGGTTCGGTCACAAATTTTGGAAAAGGTGGCTCAGTCTTTGCAATGTTTTTTGTCTTTATATATGCCCAATCTTCTCCGCCATAAGATGACCTTGCCTTTTCTTTAAAGCTCGGCTCAAATCGTAAGCAGTTCGACTGCATGACAACTTCTCTCCATTTTCGGAAAGATTTTGCCTTTTTCTTTCAGAGTCCAGTCTTACAACGATGTTCCTTTTCATATCACCCTAAAAAGAAAGAATGGTGTCGAAAAAACAGCATCAGCAGGCAAAAATGAACCTCTGCGAAGAAACATAAGTTGGAGTCATGATTTTGTGGAATCGGCGAAGCGACATTTCCCAAAAAAAAACGAAGAAAAAAGATTCCCACCACATCGAAGAATGAAAGTTGTTGGTGATGTGCAAACTCACATTTGTGTTTTACACAACCTCCCTTTGCAGAGGCTTTTTCTGAGTGCATGTTTCGATGCATCGCAGCAAGAGAAACCCTGCAGGATTATTCTCGGGGAGGGGGTTACTGTTCATGGAAACTTAGGGAACCTTTCGACGCACGCCCATGTTGAACTTTTGACTACGCGGAACCGTTTAACTTACTCAGAGGAAAAGCGAACGCACTGAACGCATGTATGCTTGGGTTAGAGGATTTATAAATTGATGTGAAGTTCAGCCCGTTTGTCCTTTCATTCCCTTCCGAGAAGATTTGGGCTGCAATCTGTGCTACCTGACCGACAGCGCCCATTTTTGTCAGAAACAAAACACCCCGAACACCTGTTTCCGATTGGAAAGCTGAGTTATAAAATGGTGCCCCGGTAGCGTAACTGGTAGCGCACTTGCCCGGAAAGCGAGAGGTGCGGGTTCTAGTCCCGCCTGGGGCGAAAGTTTTGTTCACAACCCAGCATTCTTGTCAAAACCCGAATACTGTTCGGAACTCGGATCATGAACGAAGTTCGGTTTGCGAATAAAAAGTCTGAATACCAGAATGCAGAGCCACGTTCCCGATTTCCTCAAGAAAGGAAGGGAAATCCGTCGCACGCCAACCCAGCGAATTTTTAATAAGCGGTAGCTTGGGTTTTGGGATGCACTACAACTGATTTCCTGATAAAGTCAATGAGCGGGGCCTAGATTGGAAATTTCTCAGAAACCCTTCGCGCCGCAGTCAAAATGCATCCAAAGCTCCAAGCTGTAAATGGTTCCGGAGGCAACTCTGATAGCCTTGAGCTCTTCTATTAGGACGATGCACTATAAATATTTTCCGAGTTCAACTGCGTTTGAGTTCAAATGTTACTTCCTATGCCATAATTAATGTGTTACCATTTTTATGGCGCACAGTGACATAAAACCTTAATTGCAGTAACAGTCAAGTTTGAAGCCCATTTTATTTTTGATCAGCGCGTTCAATGAATAACGACATGCCCTGGATTTCGGTATACACTCAGAAGGATAATATGATGTGCAACATAAATTTCCAAAGCCGGAAATTCTACTATAATAGAAAAAAGATTTCTTTTGAGCGGCGCTTTAAAAGTTTCGAAGTTTCTACCCTCAATGTTTAGATATTTTTATTATTGATTTGATTCAAGTATTATGTAATTTTCAGAGGGGTCGTCTAGAAAAGAACTATTACCTCTACAGGAAAGGTATGTGAGCCATACAGTCCCAACCGTAGGACGCAGTTTCGGTATTCCACTATTACTGCCCAAAATCTCAAAATTTTATTTTTCGTCGAAACTTTGCCTATAGGGGTAATTCGATGCCCTGATTACGAATATGACATTCATTTTTGATGCTGGCGCCATTTGGCGCCATTGTCACGACGGCTGTTTTCACCAAATTCGGTGTAAACTTGCACATAGGGGTTATTTGGTGTCCTGATTACGAATATGACATTCGTTTTTGGTATTGGCGCTTGTTTTCTGCCCCCTTGGGCTCTCTCTATACATTGTGCTTAAGAATAAGCTTATTCGGAGGAGGACTCGAGGTGGGTAAAGCAACATGTGACAAAAGTTGAAGTGTGTGATATCAGGGTGAGTGGCTCACTCACCTCTGAGCCCTCCTTTCCCCAAGGGCTTAGTCCTGATAGTGATCAACCAGTGCGAGGGCGCAGACGAGCAGAAAATAGGCGCCAAATGGCGCAAGCGCCAAAAATGAATGTCATATTCGTAATCAGGACACCAAATAACCCCTACGTACAAGTTACCCACAATTTCATGAAAACAAAGTTCGTGACAAGGTGGCGCCAGCATCGAAAATGAATATATTAGGTTGGTCCATAAGTCTTGCAACAAATTACATTTGATGCTAGAAATTTTTGTGAGAACTCCGAAAAATCCGCAACATGTTTGTTGACGTAGCATCCACCTTTGCAATTTCAGCCAACCATCCAGCTCGTTGTCTCGCTACTTGTTATGGATATTACACCGATTTCGCGAAAAGCTCTTCGTGCCCTTAATTTTTACGAGTACTGCTTGGAATGTTCCGCAAGTCATGCTACACCAAGGATTAGCCAGAAGATGGGCGAGGGCACGCTCTCTCAATTCACGGTGCACGGCGCTTCACTCTGCTCAGCGTTGACTTTTTTTATTTGAAGATGATCCACACTCCAACCACCCCGTGACTGGCAATCACGATGCTCTATCTGACGCTGTTGAAAAGGGATCTGGATAGAGTATCGATCATTTGCTAGAGCAATTCCGATGCGACAAGGAGACAGCACTGTGGCATCTCCAAAGACTTGTGAAGATCCGAAAATGTAGAGTTTGGTCCCCACATGCCTTGAGCCCGATTCAGCTCCAAACACGATCTGACATCGTCATGTTCAAGTC